CTGATGAAGAGGCGAGTGCTCGGTGCTGGTGTTGAGACTGCGTGCCTCGTCCTAATGAAGAGGCGAGTGCTCGGTGCTAATGTTGAGACTGCGTGCCTCGCCCTGATGAAGAGGCGAGTGCTCATAACTCTTGTATAGTCCGAGCATGCGCGCACATAACTCTTGTATAGTCCGAGCATGCGCGCACATAACGCTTGTATAGTCCGAGCATGAGCGCACATAACTCTTGTATAGTCCGAGCATGCGCGCACATAACGCTCTGTCTCTTATACACATCTAGATGTGTATACCTGATGAAGAGGCGAGTGCTCGGTGCTGGTGTTGAGACTGCGTGCCTCGTCCTGATGAAGAGGCGAGTGCTCGGTGCTAGTGTTGAGACTGTGGCAGCGGCTCTTCGTCTTGCCGGCAGCTCGTCTTCTTGGGCTGACGTTTACTGCCCACGGCTGTTCATATATCTTGGCGCAGGGTTAGGCGCCGGGTTAGGGGATCGGTTTCTTTCGGGAAACAAGCGTGTGGCTCTATCAGCTCATTTGTATGGCTCACCAGTCACTGAGGAATACAGCATTATTGTGTGTTTGTGTATTATCATTGTAAATCTCTGCATCTATTTCCGTAATATTTGCTGTGATAATTTTACGCACATAGCTCTTGTATAGTCCGAGCATGCGCGCACATAACTCATAGTGTTGTGGCCTGCAAACGAGCAATACTTTCCAAACTCGCTTTGTGAACGTAAGTACCTACGCTCTATTTTCTTATCTATCATTGGTGGATTTTTCTTGAAAGGCCGTCAATGATTGGCTGTTGAATTTACGATCTCTTAACTCTCTTGAAAGTATAGGCCCAGGCCTGCGGGTATATACGGAGTCTAGCCTAGCTCGACCAGATCTGCTCCGGCACAAAATTACATTTTGGAGGGCACTAGAGAGGCTTTAGGCGTCTCTGTACGCCGGAAAATGCAGACCCTCATTTGACCGGCGCATGTCGGCATTTCTTGTCTATCAACCATGCTTTATTAAACTTGCGAGTGACTTGCATTTTTCATCGTTCTCTGACCTGAGGACTTGGGGTAAAATTCAATTTAATAAACCACCTATTTCTTATGTGTGATAATGCTGCCATTATGCTGGTATCCATGATACTTTAATAGTCTACTTATAGGACTCAAAATTTAACTGGAGGAAGAGTCTAAAAAAAGTCTCTGCTTAATTGTCACTATATTAAAATGTCTACTCTTTGCACCCTGGCCAGAAAAATAGTTTAACGCGCAAGTTTCAAGTCATGGTTCGTGGGCAGTGCATTTCGGCATTAATTTACCATAATGCATGTAGCAATTTTTGTCCACGTATTTCTAATCCATTCACATAATGCGCGTCAAATGTATTACTACTTTAGAATTACGGTCGCGATTCAGCCTCTATTCCTGTCGTTGGCATACAAACATCACTAATTAATCCGCCTTTCAACCCAGTGACGTATTTTAAAAATGCCTTCATTATTCGCTCACAAGCACAGAATTGAAACTTTGCTCCAAAATGAACCGCAAAGAGAGGTTACTGAAGTCATGCGGTAAGAGCGGCGCGTGTTCTCATTCATTGGTAAATTTCTCCGTTTTTCCTGTGCATCACGAACCTAATGGTTGCTCGCAATAGCTGCTGCACTATTTAAAAAACTATTTTAAAACTGTGTAATCAATGCTACAATTGAATATCCGCCGCGTATTTTGGTTAACAATAGAAAATGAGGAACGGGCACATTCTCTGATATTCGCTTTATTGAACCCCGCCTTCATCATGTGTGTTTCTTGAGCTGCGCTATTTGCATGCTAAACAAGATGTTACGATGATCGATAGCTGAGTGTCGGCATTCCATATATATTGTAATATTGAATACCAAAATAAGTTTCGTATGCTTATCTGAACGTGCTAATTTCGTCTTCGTTGTATGGTGTTTATATTCAGGATGTGGCTGCTTTTTTCGTTAATTTCCTCGCGCTCCTCGAGAATTCTGCGGTATGAAATTTTTTGGACCCAATTAGATGAATTAATGGTTTTACAAATTTAAATTACATCGTTGTGAAAAGAAGGTCTAGTAAATCCCCTGAATAACAACAACATTTAAAATAAATTGCACAAAGTATACATAGGGAATATGTGTACTTATGATTGTAAATTTGACCTATGTGTACTTTGTAAATTTAATTTTTAAATATAACCCTGTGTGTACAAAGTACACGTAGGGTGTACAGAGTACACATACGGAATATGATTGTAAATTTTAATAAATGGAGTACGTTCTTAAGGCACTCGTATAAATTTCACGAAAAATAACTAATTTTGCTTACTTCCACTAATCGCAGTAGCTGATGAGTATTTTACACAAATTCTCCATTTACGACAGTGCGGTCAGTATCCCAGGTGATACAGAGCACCCCACTATAGGTGCTATAGGTTCACGCTTGCTGGCCGGTCGATTTCTTCTCCACGTAGCTGGTGCTTTTGATACTCGCTCGGGTGGAGCAAGCTATTTCTGACTTCACTGCAATGAAAATACCGGTCTCACGTACATTTGCCAATTTTATTCCCGGTCAGCATAACGCCCGTCAGACTGTTTTTCATTGCGATTTTTCGAATCGTATACTGTGGAGTCCAGCTTTCCTCTTTAAAAATCTAAGGCAGTGGAAACTAGGCTGAAAAATGTCGGACCGTTGCCATAGACACTTAGTTGCTTCTTTCTTTCGTTGACTTATAGCCTGTATGGCAGGTACAGTTAAACTCTAAAAATATGGGCCAATGACGAGAATAAATGTAGCGCTTTATAAGTCGCCCACCTGACATTTGTTTAGAATATTATATATAAGCATTCAAACGGAGCGGATATATTATTCAGGATATACTCGTATTATATGCAGTATAAAAACGGAACGGGTAGATATATATTCAGGATATTAAAAAAAAAACACAACTAATCTGAAGGATATATTTAATTAGGGAATTATGAGCACACAAATAAGGAACAGACGGATATTTGTTCTGGATATTATGAGCACATAAAAAAAGGACAATACGGATATTGAATAAGGATATTATGAGAACACAAAACTGACAAAATAGATATTTATTAAGGATACTATGGGCACACAAAAACTGACAAGACGGATATTTATTAAGGATATTATGGGAACACAAACACGGACTTGGCAAGGTCTTCGGCGCGACGAGCATGCCGCCTTTAGGGTCCCGCGAGGGCCTCAGTTCTCTCGTCGAATCCGTCATTGCGGACGAGCTTTTTACGCACAGGGTTAGGTTATCGTCTACTTGCTGCCGCTATTCCTGGGTACAAACACTGAACTTCTTAATTAAAACTATGAACAATGCGCCATTTTTTGTTATTATGAATAAATTAAACAATAATTATTTATTTTTGGGTTAACTTTTGTTTATTTCGAGAGCGGGGAATGGCCTCCCCAAACCAATTCGCTTCTGGTTCACTATAAACGAGTATGCAAGCGTTTTTCCAAAGAAAGGAAATGGGGGAAATTTTCAAAGAGCTGCGGTCAAAATAACACATTCCAGTAAAGCTCTTCGTCGATTTTATTGTTGAACTAAACTAAAAGAAATGAAGAGAACTCTTGCGTTTATGTGTTATTAACTGAACCGCGTATCTTTGATCAATGTAATGTCCATTGTAGCACTGGATAATTAATTTAATCATTAACTGAAACGCCAGAATTGTTAGAAGCTTTGCTTGCATTCCTTATCCGAGCTCCTGATGTTATAATAAATAGACCATCATACATGCTGGAGCTACATCTTAAACGTACTGGAATAGGTAATTTGTCTTTAACTACGTTAATTATTTCGCCATATTTGAGAAAAATGCACGCATATAGAGGCCTCGTGAATACATCAAGAAGAAAGGAAGTTTTGGGCGGGCAAATCTGCAGAAAGTTTTCTCATAAGAGAACGCTCTAGATTTGATGGGTTTTTGCTGGCGTTCTTCACGGGAAAAAGCGAGCGCCTCTTCGAAATATCCACCTGTTGCTGCTGCACTTTTTGGTCTCACGCCCTGCAGTTATTCGTTCCGTTTTTTCTTTATAGTTTATTTATTTCTGGCGGTATTGCTCAAGGGTAAGAAGTTGTGGCGCTAGTCCCAGGAGCTCGAAATCGAAAACACCATCCGCGCGTGTATTGAATTTATTCGCGTAATTAATCTATTGAAATTTTTTCTCAGACTAATTTCAGATTTCAAAGTGAACAATACTGAGATTTATCAAATTGAAAATTCTACACCCACACAGTATCCTTGAGAGGATACTGTAGAGTAGGACACTCCTGTAGGATACTCCTTTAACCACACTCCTTATGTAGAGTTTTGTCATCCAGTGCAATGCAAATGACAGCATAACAGATGTGGTCACATAAAATAGCAGTTAGAGCTGCGGTGTGGTTACATAAAAAAGTTTGCGACGTGGTGGTGTTTAGTTCAGATCTACGATATAGTGGCCATGCAGGATTGCAGCCTCATATTTTTTTAATGCTCCAGTAAAACTGTTATAGCTGCAACCAACTTCCGCCAATATATTACAGAAAGTACACTAACCAATTTTGTTTCTTTTGCATTTGCTGCACCAGATTATGAAGAAAGTCAGACTAATTTTATTATTAACTGGTTATTAACTTATATGCAGGTATTCTCCGTCATTTCTCTGGTTACAAATAAGAGTCAACATTATAATCACATTTAAGATTTTTTATTAAAATTATATTCAATATTTCTATTTAAAATCAAAATATATCTTAAAAGCTTGGTCATATGAACTACAGGGAAAATCGAGTCTCCATTTTAATTTTTTTAAGACTTCAAAAATGCCGGAATTTATGAGTATTCTTACTAATGACAAAAATGTGATGTGTGTGTGTGTGTGTGTGAATTTCTTTCATGTATTGCAAATTTCGAAGCAACTAATCATGATACTCACCCTGGTCTCCTGCCTGCAGGCTGTGGACACGATCAGCGAATGTTCGCAGGACTTCACAGACTCTGCGTACACGAGCCACGAACACCGCGAGAACATCATCCTCCTGGCGGACAGAATACGACTGCAGCTCAACCAACTCCTCAGAGTCGGTGTCAGCTTAGTGAGTATTCAGCTTCATAAAATATATTACTAAATATCAGTAACCGGGAAACCGTTAAAGAGTAACGATCTTTATTCTGAGAATTAGTTCATAAATTTGTCGTAAACGCAAGGTGGCTGCAGCTGAGTAGTCTACTCGTGGTTTTTTCCAGGCTTCACCTCGGCAGTTGCTGACATACAAGAGAGCTCACTAAAGCCTCAAAGATAGAAGAGCCTATTGAACGTGTTGGTATTGGTCGCAATTTGGTGTACCGATGCAAGAAATGAAAGAATAAGAAATAACAACGATAAAACAATTATAAAACGTTTCTTTTCTTCGGTTGAAGTTCTAATAAATACTTTCAGGGGTTGCTTGAATTTTTCTAAAAACTGAATATTAAATTTCGTTGACATGATATATAGTTTTTGTCGGAGCGCAATCATGCGTCATTGATGGCTAACCGTACAGTAACAACATTCTTGTTTCTGTCATCTACTTAAAACCTGCCAAGTTGGGCGCCGCAAAAGTTTACGTGAATAATACTTATCCGTATCAACTGAAATACGTAATACAGCAGTCATACATAGTGCTTTTATTTCCCTCCCGCCAGGAACAGAAAGAAGTTTTGTCGCCGAGCGCCGACCTGGACGCTGCGATCAGCGCTGTGCTCACCGCCACCGGCGACCTGCGAACCGAACTCCACAACACGGCGCTTGAGCAGGTATTTGGCCGCACCTGCTACCTGCAGTCGTATTGGTCTAATTATAATCAGATCTACAATTGCACGAACAATCAATCATAAATTATTACTGGTTCATTGAATGATCAAACTATTGCATTGATGGATCGAGCCAGGACAGGTGAAGGTGAACAGTTGAAGTTTGCGCGTTATTACATAAGTTATTTTCCTGATGAGTGCTGCGATGCTGCTGCGATGGCATCGATCATTGAATTGAATACAGTGATGTTAATATCCTCGCAGGACAAATATCCAAACTTTATTTACACGCAGGAATCAATAGCCCTATGTAATTGCACAGGTACTAAAATCCTCTTTGTATTAGCACGCAGGCGCCAATATCCTCACTATATTTGCACACAGCTGCCATTATCCTCACTATATTTGCACACAGCTGCCATTATCCTCACTATATTTGCACGCAGGTGCCAATATCCTCACCATATTTGCACGCAGGTGCCAATATCCTCACCATATTTGCACGCAGGTGCCAATACCCTCACTATATTTTATTTCCTCACTATATTTGCACGCAGGTGCCAATATCCTCACTATATTTGCACGCAGGCTGCCGAGATCGTGCGTGGAGGCTGCGAGGTGAGCGAGCTCATGAGTGCCCTCAAGAACTCAGGTCTGGCCACGGACCAGGAGAGACTGGACGAGTACTCGGACCGCTTCCTCGAGCACATCGAGCACATACAAGAGGTCCGCACTCGCCCGCTCCATGGCGATGTCTTTTGCAGCTGTGATAGGCTTCCTTAGGACTTTCCAATGGCTTCTTACTCACCGCTGCTATATTTTACTTTTCATGTTGTCTTTTTTTGCATATTTTATTTTTGTAAATGTTTTGTTTCTTGATTTCTATTGCAGTTTAATTTTTTTTCTTCTCTTCCCTTTTTTATCGTCATTTTTTGATTACTTTATTTCTGCGCGGAACCTCGTCGTTCTTCTTAATCAGAGTTAATACAAAAGTTTTATCCTCATTTTGTCGGTCGAATTTCTTGCCTACAGGCGTACCGTTGAGAATGACGGTAGGGTTTTATGAAGTTTCAGATTAAGATGGTTTTACAAATATTATTTCGCCAGCCTAAATAATATTAAGCGTGTAGATGGCAAGGCTCGATTTGGATGTTTAAATTGTGACAATCTAACACAAACGTTTTGTTCATTCATCACAGAATCGTTTTTAAAATTACTTTCACAGTTAATACTATACTACATTAATGTTCATTCAAGTTTGATAAAGCTAAATGAATTGGCTCTTACCAGCAAAACATTTAATCTAAATGTTAATTTGAACATGTATTCACCCCTTCCCCTCACTATCACCCTTCACCCCTCCCCTCTCCACTCACTTAGTGAGGGGAGGACTGACCTTACATCTTCAAAAGTGACCTTTACGTAAATATTAATTATGAACATATATAATCTACAACACATGCTTGGTCAGGTCTGTAAGCTGCTCCGGCACGTGGCACCGACGGAGGCGCTGCAGGTCGCCGCCAAGTACAGCGAGATCAACCTGAAGATCTACGGCCCGCAGGTGGTCACCGCCGCCCAGACGCTCTGTCTCTACCCCACTTCAAAAATCGCCAAGGAAAATGTTGAAGGTACCAAAAATTCATCTTTTTAGCGCATTTTCTCATTTATGGAAAAAAGGCGCTATTGTGCTCGTCATGTCTGTCCGTCTGTCCGTCCGTCCGTTCGTGACTTCACGTTTTCGTCGACGAGAAAATGCGCTCTCTGTCACTCACTGTAGTGAGTACTGAGTTATATTTTTTTCAGGTACGATTCACTGTTACTTAAACTGATGCTAAATGATAAGGTAAAATGCAATAATCAACTAAAAAAATTCGGTACTGATCGAAGCATGTGTGAGACCGTGCGTGTTATTAGCGCATTTTCTCATTTATGTAAAAAAAGGCGCTATTATGCTCGTCATGTCCGTCCGTCCCTCCTTGACTTCACGAGAATATGCGCTCTCTTTCATTCACTACAGTGAGTACTAATCTATTTTTTTACAGTTTTCTGCAACGTGTGGTTGAACCTTGTCGGCGATGTCAAGCTTCTCACCAAAGACATCAACGACCAAATACTTGCTGAGGACAAACCTGCTGAGAAGCAAGTCTACATGTCCCTGCCAAGACCTGGGGTTAGTACTTTCATTATATAAAGAATGTAAACAATCTCATTAAGACCATTTGATTTCTTTCAGGGATTTCCTTTTAACCTCTAAATCAACGAGCCAAATTATTTTTGTAAAATATTTGTTCAATTAAATACATATGATAATTGACTTGAACTTAACTGTCTAAGAATGCGTTTAACCTACATTATTTTCATTTCCTTTTATTATAGAAGCATGGCACTACGACTAAAGCACCCAAGCCTACGAGATTAGATCAAGAGGAGCAAGCGAAACTGGCTAAGTCTGGGCTAGATATGAAGATGGCTTCATCCGAGGTGAGAAACAGTCCTGGCTAGACATGAAGACGGTTTTTTCCGGATAGGTTAAAATCCAGGTTAACCGTAAAGATGGCTTTTTCTAAGTTCACTCAAATTTTTTGAAAAATTAACAATGTTTTTATAATAGGAAGTGTAGTAGAACCGAAAAAAATCGGTTACTGCATCATGAAAATATTTTTTTGTCGATTGACAAAAAATTACCTCAAATTTTAATATTTATGGCGAAAATTCTCCGGCTTTTGTTTTAATTATATTCACATTATTTAGAAACTGTTACTGTCAATGGGTTATAGTGTATGAATAAGGAATGTGAGAAGAAGATAAGTTCAAATTTTCTCGACAACATAAAAGGGATGTAATTCAACCAACTTGTCTTAATAATTGTTTATTGTGGTTTTAGGTGGACCAAGAGGCGGAGAAATGGGAAGAGAGAATAAGTCAGGATGAAGACAACGACATCGTGAAGCGCGCCAAGAACATGTCGTCCATGGCCTTCTCCATGTACCAGTTCACGAGAGGCGAGGGAGCCTTGCGCACCACCCAGGACCTCTTCACGCAGGGGGAATACTTCGCTGAAGAAGCTAACAGACTCTACAAAGTCGTGAGACAGTTCTCGTACCAGGTCAGTGGACTGTGTCAACGTAGTGTTAATAGACNGTGCCAACGTAGTGTTGATAGACTACACAAAGTTGTGAGACAGTTCTCGTACCAGGTCAGTAGACTGTGTCAATAGACTGTACAAAATCGTGAGACAGTTCTCGAACCAAGTCAGTGGACTGTGTCAACGTAGTGTCCATAGACTGTAGAAACTACAGTCAGGCGACTTTGTGACAATGAACAGAGGATTGTGTAAAAAAAATGAGGATTGACAAATCAGAAGAGTGTTGACATCCTGCCTACATGCTGAAAATTGTTTATTTTTTTCACGGAGTCAGTCTAGCATGTCAATTGACAACATATTTTTTTAAGCACTATTAATTGTTCTCAAGGAAGTTATCTCATTAGGTCAGTTGACGATGTCGATGTGTTAAGATTATAAAATGTAATTGTAGAGGTCTCTACGTAAACGAATGCATCTAAGCAGCATCTTATATTCAATCATGAACAACAACGTGAAGAAACAGTTTTTGCTCTTAAAAGAAACTTTTTTGCACCTGAAACATTCCTCGTAACGAAATTTTCCTGTGCAGCTCAAGTCGCAGGTGCCATCAGGACCTCACAAGAAGGAGCTCATGGAGTACCTGGACCAGATCCCCACTCACGTGCAGCTGCTGCAGTACTCCGTCAAGAACCCGACGGTTGGCAAGGCCGCCACCTTCACAAAAGTAGACACCGTCATCCAGGAGACCAAGAATCTCATGAACGTTATTTCTAAAGTCGTCACGACCTGCTTCGTATGCGCCACTAAGGTTCATACTTATGAACTTAAATCCCCAACCGGCTTTAATTTTATATAAATACATTTTTTCATATGAATTTTGTATTCGTTGATTTCATATTCATGTTATTAAATGTAGCTGCTTACAATAATTGTAAATTCCTATATTGAAATCTTCACAATGACTCGTGTCAATAGAATAGTAAAGAATAGAAGTGTCGGCACTGAAGAAATAGGCCCATGGCCTGTGGCCGATTCTTGTGATACTTTAGAACAGTTTTTTTTATTGTGCACTGGTAATTACTATCTATAACCCTTGTTCTTCAGTACAACCTGGACTTCCGAGGCCTGAGTCCTCGGGGAGGCGGACGAGGTTCCTCCCAATACCGGACAGATGGGGACGACGTGGGTGGTAGTGGGGGCGAGGCAAGGCCGCCACCTTCACCAAAGTAGACACCGTCATCCAGGAGACCAAGAATCTCATGAACGTTATTTCTAAAGTCGTCACGACCTGCTTCGTCTGCGCCACTAAGGTTCATACTTATTTTAGGAACTTTAACCCCAAACCGGCTTTCATTTTATATAAATACATTTTTTTCACATGAATTTTGTATTCATTGATTTCATATTCATGTTATTAAATGTAGCTGCTTACAATAATTGTAAATTCCTATATTGAAATCTTCACAATGACTCATGTCAATAGTTCAGGTCGTTTATATTGTGCGCTATTAATTATATAACCGTTGTTTTTCAGTACAACCTGGACTTCCGAGGCCTGAGTCCCCGGGGAGGCGGACGAGGTTCCTCCCAGTACCGGACAGATGGGGACGACGTGGGTGGCAGTGGGGGTGGCGGACTGTCTGGGGGCGGCGGGGAGACGGGGACGAGCATGTGACAGTACGGGATGGCGCGACGAGGCAAGGGAGACGGTCGCCGGACCAGGGTCTCCTTCCTTCTCTTCTAGACGGCTTCTTTAGGCCGACTCGAAGGGAAGACTCGTCGTTCCATCGTGATCTGTATCATCACATCCTTCAAATCATCATTACAATCACCGTTAAAAATCATTGTTACAGGATCTGCATTTTTAACTGATCGCCAGCAAGGATAGACAAAGTTGTTTTTCATTCAGTCTGTTCTTTACCCCCGGAGAGACAAAGTTTTCAGGCATGTTTTTCAATCAGTATGTTTTTTTACCCAAAAAAAACTCCCAAGGCGATTGTGAATGCTTTTATATATTTTTTGTTTCATTCTTGCAATTTATTCTTTACAAGTCTTGATCTAATTTTCCGAACTGATTATTCGTGCTGAACTCAAAAGAACTTAGGCTCTTTTAATTCTGTAGATCTCTTGATCCTCATGGCCGTAGCGATGTGTCACCGCTCAAGACCACGAATAAAAACTGTTGTTATTTCATACATGCATCTTCGGAGCGGCTGTGAAAAGCATTCGATTCTTCGGTGAAGCGATTAAACTTATTATGAAAATCATTGTTACAGCCTATGATCAAACACACTTCTGGCACGCTCGATCAATTCACAGCATGAAAATTTTCGATAATAAGGATCATAAACAGAAAACTGAATGTTTTTATTTTATAAGAATAAGTAAAAAGAGATCGTGAAATATAATTTATATTACAACCAACATTAAAACTGTCTAAATAAATATTGATACCTCATCATGAGCCTCCTCGTTAACTACGTACTCATATTTCAATGAATTTGTGAATTTGTTTTTTCATCTTGATCAAATACAAGAATATATAAAACTATATAACATAGAATATTATGCACGAAAACATCAAGATAATTAAATGTGCAATTAGAAATTATTTGTATCAACTTGATAAGCATCTCACTCAGTCTTGAAAAAGAATGCCACAAAAATGTAAATTTTAAATATATTCGTTAATATTCATTTTTATGTTGTAAAATAATGCTAGTGTATGAAAACCTGAATTATTTGTCTGTATTGCGAACTTTGGGGTGCACAATCGCCGACCAGCGAACGGGCAGAGTTTGACATCGCTTACGCAGCGCCGGTTATAACGTGATGTTTTGCATGGTCTTTCAATCAAGTAAATTGAATGGTAGGCTCAAAAATACATTCATAAGCGCAAAAATCAGAAAATCGGACATACCGCCAAATCGTTTAAGAGACGATAGATGTTTCTAGGACTTACAGGTATGACAATTTGCTGTGACCAGTATGCATTTGTCCTACCTACGCAACTTGTTCTGACAGTGGCCATACTTTCAAAACTCGCTATGTGAACGTAAGTACTTACGTTCTATTTTCTTTTCTACGATTCACTTAGCGAGTCATAAGAGTCGCGCTGTCGTTGCGTAGTTCTCTCTGTTGATATGCCATGTGAACGCTTCTTTTGGATCGCTCTCAAGGTCACTTCAAATGTAGTTCATGCTTCTGGGTTTACTCGCGATTATCAATCTTCATCTGTTCTCTTATAAATTGAATATAATATGCCTTCTGTGATCAAGGACTTGGTTCTCATTGGCTGGATTGTCAGCTAAAATCAAAATTTTATTATTATATAAAGAGCCACATAATTTGCGAGCTAGATGGGTAAGATTGCGCGATGTATGTATAAGATTACGGGTGTTAATTAATTTATACAATATTTCTGACTTTCGGAGCATTTTGTGTTGCAAAAGCCGTAATCTCTTATAATCCAGTGCCAAGTTAGTCGTTAAGAAACAATGCCGTAACATTCTATCCATACTTACAATTTTGCTTCAATCTAAATTTTAGAAATATAATTTTATATATAGATTTTGGTGCCACATTATATCTCTGCAGAAAATCACTGTAATGTGCTCCCAAATAAAAATCTACTGTGAATGCTCCAGATGGCCACCTTCATCTGATTATTAGGAATGAAAGAAAATTAGAGGTTTTACTTACTTCTAGAATTATTTCTCCTTAAACAATGTTGCCCCACGTGTACTGGGCTGTCGCTCCTCACGTTGGACTTAGCTTTCTATGTGCTAGAAGAACTTCACAATTTACCAGTAGAGCTTACTTGTTCCTAAAGTCCCGATATAAAACGTGTAACATGGATTCCCAAATAATAAACATTTAGACCTTCGACCTTTCCAAAATTGCTTGATTTAAGGTCTGTTGGACTCATGGTATAACTAATATATTAGTTCACCCATGAGTGGACCGTTCTGATGCGCTGCAATGCAAAATTTCTGCATATAAAAATTTTGAGCGTGTTGATATGCAAGATTTCTTCGTCGCTGCTTCTGGTCTAATTTGCCCTGAATTTTAATATTAGAGGCGCTATATATTCGGCCGTCATCGATTTCTCATAATGTCGCCGGAAAACTCTCAATTCTTCCATAACATGCCTTTGAAAACATAAATTCTTGGAATTAAACATTGCTATGTCCGAGTTGGCTTTTACATTGATGATGACTAAAGGGAACATATTTTTGTCGGAGATGAATCTGATTGAGCGGCCTTCATCTTATTTTTTCCTTATGATTATAACCTAGCGGAATTACCACACACTCGCAAGCATTGCCTCCAACGTGGCCGCAACTTTGCCTCGCTTGCCAGCAGGAATAATCAAGCCTAGTTTGGCAAGAGCTATGCTGCTATTAAGCAAAGCAATTTACTTGCAACTCACATAGTTGGGCTGAAGAAGCTTTCTCGTCTGCACTTACGTAGATCTTGTTTGTACTTTGATATTTTGGTGACAGGGTTTTGTTAAGCTGTTAGATTTTAGCTTGGAGCCTAAGGTAATGCCCTTGCTCAGTGAGACTATTATAGTGTACTCAGTACAAAAACATGCGAAATAGTTTCTGTAAATGGACCGGATAAGTTAAAAACGTTCATCTAGAGCACTTCTTTTGGCCCACGCTACACCTCTAGGTTAAGATTATTTTTGAAAACATTCTAGACTATAACGCATGCTCTTGTACTGTGCTAGTGTGTGTGTGTGCTCTAGCGACTATATTGAGCTTCTTCAAGACAATGATAGCTGTTTGTTGGTGTGATATTTGCTCTACTGTCTCCTCTCCCCAAGTATATTATAAATAGCCTTATATTCTCGTGGGAAGCGGGGTACATTTTTCTTAATTGTTATGCTTGAAGTATATGTTCCTGCTCGATGCAATTCAAGTTACATTAAAAGACTACTACAAAATGGAGCCGTGAACTCACAAACTTTTAACATTTTTGGAATTTTATTGTATCCGTTTCACTGATGCCGATCCAAGTCAACTGAACAATACAATGACTAAAAAAATTCCCGCTTCAACTGATTTTTTAATTGTGTTCTTGGTTCAGCAGGGTCCTCAAAGTAACATTATTGGTTCATTTTAATGGCCAGCTCATTTCAAGTATGGCTTTAAGTCGGTGATTAAAGTTATTTCCTCATATTCAACGCCATTTTAATTATTGGCGCCTTGATGTGTGAAAAACACGACGTGCAGGGTTTAGCTTCTTACAGAGTTCTGGTTTCCATCCATCATCATGTCGCATTGTTGCAATAATGACGACGTCAATATTCGCTGTTTGAGAGAATTCAAATTTTCCCGTAATTAGAGAAACCGACAAACTGGGATTTACGTTCATAGCAAAGATTGCGATCGTCGTGACGTTTTTTGAGTACAGCACGTGAGTTGAGCGGCGAGCATCCATTTTATTGTTAATGGATCAGCACGAGAGGGACACTCGCAAGTCGCAACGAGCTGCCCGTGTAAAATCAGTCGGTCAATCATCACTCGAGATTTTGACAGTCGCAGACTATCAAAAGATAGAGATTTGACTATCACATGAGACTATCTCTCGAGATTTGACACTAATCGCAAACGTACAAGCCAAATCAACTATCATCTCACTCAATTACGTGCGCAGTGAAATTTACGGTCATCCTAAGATTTGCGTTTACTGTAATATATCCTGATATGCATTTAACTGGGTTAATTGGGGCCATAGGAATAGCCGAAACTCAACGTCCACGTCGCCAACTTGTGAAGAAAAGTTCCACTCATAACTCAAGAAGGTCTACATGCGACTAACAAGCACGAATAACGGAGACTCCGGTCAGCTACGCTAAGACGAGTCTAGTTTCCTACATAGATTATCCCAATTCGCATGTCTTATTAATTTCCTAGCTCATCAGTGCTTAATGAAAACCATAATTTTGCTTAGTATAGGAAACTCGTACGTAGGAGATTCGCAACCCTCATTCTAGCTTGAATAACAATTGTTGTACATTTAAAAAGTTCCAAAAATTACGAAATCTCTTCTAATCGATGCTGTCTGTACCTACGGTGAGGCTTGTCCTTGCGATCATGAGGCTTGTCCTTGCGATCTTGGCGCTTACAATCATCGCACTTTTTACTCATATTGTGGTTATTACGACCATGGTGGTTTATCAATCGTGACGATTA